GGACACCGCGGCGCTCCTATCGCCGGCAGCAGCAGCGACGGCGACTGCTCGCACGTGGCGCTCGTGGTCGCGGCAGAGGCTCGCCAGCTCATCCGCAAGCCCGCATTGCCGCGCCAGCTCGTCCGTGCGCCTGCGTGGCCGGGGCTGCTCGACGGCGGTGGCTGCTGCTCAGCAATGGAAGAAGAGAAGAGGAGGAGGAAGGAGATGACAAGTGGGACCCACGCGTCAATGAGAGGGAGAGGGGCTGCTGTGATAGGAAGCCAATGGCATTTAAGTTCACGTGAGAATACACGTCATCGTATACGTCCACACAGCTAGGCCCAAATTATCTTTATACATATTTTATGGTATTTTTGTGGAAAACAGGAATTATAATGGTATACTTTAAAATAAGCAAATAGTAATGCTGTTTTTTCAAAATTCAAAAATTGATGAAAAAAAACTTTCTTTAATCAGCCATTTCACATCCTTGCGTCTATGTGCTTGTACGATCCTTCCTCAGCACATCGTGCTCTGCCTCCGTCATTTGCGGACCTCGGCCACGGCGGCCCCATTGCCGTCCATGCGTCGGCGTCCCCCTCGCAGGCCACATGGTAGGGGGAGCCGAGGAACGCCGACCCTCCCGCCGGAGCCCACTGTCCGTCCCCAGATTTGGGACGACGATTCAACCGAGGATAGCGGACTTGCCTTCAGACGAATCGTCGTCTCTTCCGCGATGCGAGCGATCCATGCTCCGCGTCAAGCTCAAGCCCCCGTCCATCGGCCTCCCTGACTTGCTGATTTGGTACATATGCTCTCTCTCTCTCTCTCTCTCTCTCTCTCTCTCTATATATATATATATATATATATATTCCACAGACTGATTTAGTTGGTTTCAGCCATGCCAATATGCCATGATCGAGGGCGGATTGCAGCATCGAGCCGCGGCGAGGGAAGGTCTCGCTGCTCCAGTTCGCCAGCCGCGTCACGTCGGCCTTCGGCTGACACGGTGGTTGCACCGAATCGAGGTTGGCCTCGGCATCGGCCTCTGATGTCCCATGCTACTGCTGCGGCCACCAGCCACGACGGCCTCCGTTCAGGGCATATTCGGAACGGAGGAGGGATGCAAAACATAGAAATAAGAGAAAACACATGAATAAAAAAGAAATATAGGTGTAAAATAGAGGATTATAAAACACATGAATTTTGTAGAAACGAGTGTCTGGAACACAGGAATACTAATAGCATGAAAGCTTATTAGTTTGTGCTAAACACAGTTGTTTAGATTAAATAGGAGCTAATTACTGTGCATGCATGCAGGAGGGAGTATACAGATTAGTGCGTGTGAGACTGCATGAGCTGTAGGAAATATTCCCATGAGATCAGACCTCATGTCTTCTTTCCTCTAAAACTGCAGGTTTCATTGTCTTTCCTCTGGAACGGTTTGGGTCTCTTCCTTTATTTCAAACACTGCTACAATGAAAATTCCTATAGTAAACCTGATTTCTTTGATCTTGCTATGTTTTTCCTGTGAACCAGGGCCTTACCGGTACATCTACATCCTCGCCGGCTCCGTCGCGCCGCCGTTCAGGGACAACACCGCCAGTCCCCTTCCTGTTGTTTCCGCGCCATGGACAAGGGCTCCTCATCGTTCCCAAGGAAATTAAATCCAGTATACTGGGTTCCCTTTCTTTCCCCTCGACCTGCTCCGTTCTCCCGATGTCGTTCTAGATCGTGTTCCTTTGTCCAGTATAATGCATCAAATTGGATGAGCACAAAACTGAGAAATCACGCCGGACACACCAGGCACCATCTGGTTTCCCCATTTTCCATACAAAACCCATCTCGTGGAAGACGAACGTTTTTTTTTGTCACTATTTTCCTCATGAGAATTTGACCCCATCTATTCCTATGTATGAGGGGGTGAAATCTGGATGGTTCAATTCAAAATGTTATGTTTATCCATTATACTTCTAATGAAACCAAGGTATTTCATCTTCTATTTTTCTGGATTCCTACCTATGTTCTGTCTTTGGTCCGAGAATGCAAAAACACCAAAGTTCTGTTGTTTCTTCCATTGATTCTGCTCTTTACCTGCTTTGTACGAGAGAACATAGCCTTCAGCGTGCACTATGGCCCCGTTCGCGTGCTCTTAAACCCGGTTTGATCCACTTCTTTTTTTATTTGAAACAGTGTTTTTCTCTCATAGATTTCTTCAGAATTCCTCCGAACCATCCAAATTCCTCCAGAACCATACCATCCGATCGGGGCCTATAGAATGTCAGAATTAAATACAACCTTCTGCGTATGTACTTCTTTCAGTATAGTAACATTAATTGTGCCTTCTATTGTGTTACATAAGCCTGTGTTCTATTAAATGGTCTATGCAGCGTGTAATTTGTCCAAATTCCCGGTTTTAAACCGTCTTCGACAACCGCGACCTAAAATACAAGACTCATTCGTTTTTTTGGTAGGCTTACAGGCAAAGGCCCCATTCGCTTCGCTGAAAAAATAAGTCGAAACACTGTTCCGGCTGATTTGTTGTGAGAGAAAAACATTGTTCCGACTGAAAAAACAAGCTGAAAAATATGGATTATAAGAGAAGTGAACAAGGCCAAAGGGTTCAATACTTATTCTTGGTCTTCTCCAATAATAAGGCCCAAAAGACAACCCTGCAAATGGATTCCCAGGAGAGAGGATACTCATATTTGGGTTATGCCTCTCCTGGCACCTAAAATGGGTCTTCGTACTCTGTTGGAGGCTACATGTACTATATTGGAGACCCATTTTGGGTCTGGGTTCCGCAACGAGTTGACAGTCTTAAATGCGAGCTTGGCACATATTTTGGAATTGTTTGTCACAGAGTCCAAAACCAAAACAAACAAACAAGAAAAGAGGCAACCGTGTCATTATGGGCGCTTGGTGAGATTTCTCCATTCCCCTCTTCTAATTCATGCCTACGTATCTTTGTGAGTAATCCTTAGCCATATACAGTATATTTTACAGGACATGGATTTTCTTCTTATCTTTTGTGGTGATTGTTCTAAACTTAGTTTCTTTTATTTTGCCTTCTTTTCAACTTTATCAACTAATCCAGGGTCCCAGACCTTCTACTCGATCATGACCGACCTATGTTTTTTGTTTGCCTATACAGTTGTAGTTTCCTCTCTGTGCTCAACATGATCGTTCCCAGGTTAGAGCATTGTTATTGTTATTGTTATCATTTTTAATTCACCTTTCTTTCTCCTTCAATGTGTATATGTCCACATCAGTTGACATAGTTCTTTCTCTAAACACTGTCAAGAAAGTAAGTACATACTGTTGTTTTTGGAGACCAAAACTGCTCTGTTTTTCTCTTCTCATCAGCTAATAATTGGACTGTATTGTCAGATGTTTGCATCACTATTTTTATAAATTTCTCTTACATGATAACAGACACACAAAGTAATTGGCGTGGTTGTTTTCAGAAATGTAAAAGACAATGCACTACAGTCATTTAGATTCAGCCTGCTGTTGTTTAAGGTTAATGATTGAACTTTACAAATTACAATCAGCATTAGTTCATCATACCAAAGATGCATGATGTTGTTATTCGTTTCCAAGCTCCAGTATGAAGTTCCTTTCTCGATGCTCTGATATCTACTTGATTTTCAGACTCATTCTCTGCGTCCAGTATATTTGATTTACCTTATCAGCGAACTAATATTGCTAATGGAAACTGAGGATGGCGGCCCACCATATCCCTCATCCTGGCATCCGAGTCAACAGTGGTCAGGTTGGTTGCAGGAGTTTTGGATAGCCCTCTATTAGTTTCCTCCCCATTCTTCTATTCTTTCCTATTTCATCAACCAAATGCACCACCACCGCAAGGCTTCAATATGTATGTTTTGTGTTGTCTGATGCAGGTCCTTGGTGATCACTATAGCTAACGATGCAATGGAGCAAGGCTCCATCTCTGACTTCTATAATTTACAATCTGTATTTGTTTGTATTTGTTGTTACAGAGTATCGTTGTTTGATCCCTTAAATTTTCTTAGTTCTGATTTTAGTATGGTTGCATGAAGCTGCTTCTGTCTATTTCATTGTATACTCTTATTTTTCAACATAACTATGAGCATCGGCTCACATATTGTTTCCATAATCTGTTGGACCAATACCTTCGGAGTTACCTTATTCGTGTAAAATAATGCATGGGCATGGTTTGCTCTGATTGACTTGTGTGTGTTAGTACTGGGTTACGAAAGTTCCTTATTATCTTCTAAGCTTCTAATATGCTTTGCCATAGGTTTACAGTACCTTCTATCTATCTTTTCCCAGATCCATTGTGGACATCGTTACATATATTTTTCTTTGTACTCACTTGGTAATTTCCTTTATGACGAATAATGAATGATCCATTGAATTCAGCAACATTTGACAGAACACACTGCATATCCTTCTCTCTCTCCCCACCCCTTCATATACAGTGACATCAACACATCAACACCTTACCAAATGATCCTTTTATACAGTGACAACTAGTTTATTTTCAGAACCAGTATAGAAGACCATGTCTTATTGAAAACCATATGTAATATTCATTATTCAAGCACACAAACAACTAATCGAGTCTCGATCAAATATGCTGGTACTTCCGGCGAGAGTTTCATCCTTGGTCACAAGCTTTAAGCAATCTGGAGGTTAAAATGATGGTCAAATGTTTTGAAATTAGCTGAACAAATAGATCAATCAAGGCAGAAAAAATTAAGAAATATCATACCCCAAGCCGCTTCTTTGTCTGCTCAAGTAAAAACTGTGGGTCCAGTTTAGTCTGTGTATATGCATCGATCTTGTTCACTTCCTGAAATATACCAATCCATGATTTAAAATTTCTCATCAAGAAAGCATTATCAAGAGAACTGGTTTGCATTGGGCTATGCAGCCTGGTCATTAGGATAAAATGATCATTTCAACCAATGTGAGTGAATGTACTACAAACATAAAGCTTTAGCCTATTTAATGTCCCTCTGTCTGTGAATTACCTCGATGAACTTCTGAAGGTTGGGTCTGCCCTTTGTGATATCATAGTTCTTTATGTTGGAATAGAATATCTGAAACCTCTCAATGAATGGTACATACGCAATGTCCACCTGTAATGAAATTACGCATCACGACAAAACCACATTCGAACTGAAGCCCACATTCATAATATGAACTCTTTCTAATAGAGATTTGATTTTGAACCATGCTCTGGAGAATGATTCCTATTGTTCAGTAACATACCAGACTGAACTGACCAAGGAAGAACGGGCCGTCATTAAATTTCCCCAGGGCGTCTTCTATTTTATCCAAAGCAGCGACTGATGTAAAGACAATGCATGATACAATTAGCATGTTATTAAAAAGAAGGCCTTTTCAAACAAATCACACATGCGAACTAGTTTTGTTACCAGTTTCCTCAGACACATCTTCCTTGCTGAGTAAAGATGAGTATAATGCTTTGTTAAATGCATCAGTATATGCAAGCAGCTCCTCAGCGAACTGCTTCTTTGCAGGATCCTGTGAAGAATCCAAAGTCCAGAGGTTAACAAGCCTGAAAAACACCTTTTTTTTCAAGCGCTACATTGATGGCGATCTTATGTACCTCAGGGAGCAACGATGGACCTTCGAAGTTGCTGTCAAAGTACCTAACCAGATCCAAGCTCTCTCCTTTCACCTGGTTGTTGTGCTCCAGAGAAGGCACCTACGGGGAAAGAAAACAAGGGTAAATCATACATGAATGGAAAATGTAAAACAAAGTATCCATGGACCTTGGAAAATCTGAACATGAAAGGTCCTAAGGGGAATAGCAGATTAATCAAACACACCTTGTTTTCTGGATAAACCTTCTCCTTGTACCATGCTGGCCTGTCAGCAAGATCGATGGCAACTATCTTAATCTTGTCCTGCAAACCCTGGACAAACGACGAGGAACAAAAAAGGTTTCAGTTTTCCTTTTCAGGAACACACCACAAAAGAGAACCGCTTCAACAAATCAAAGAACAAAGGTGATGGTGGCACCTTGTAGTTCCTGGCAATCCAAGCGCGCTGCGCGAACGGGCAATGATATGCAACGTACAACCTTCACGAAACTCAAAGAAGGGGTTAACTTCTAGCTCCTGATCTGCACAATTGATGATTTGCAATTGATAGGTCGAAAACCTACCTGGTGGTGCCATCGAAGAGGGGAGGGGGCTCGGAGGCGGAGGTCAGGGGAGACGGCAGCGCTTCCTTGGGGCTGCATGCACGGGGAGGAAGAATTGTTCCATTAAAAAAGACCTCAATAAATAATCTCCCGTCGCAGAAAATTCAACGAAGAATCATTTTAATATGGGGGGAATTAGATCAAGAATCTGAACGGCGACAGCCAACCGAGATAGGATCCCGTTCTGCCGCTTGGATCTGCTCAGTGACCAGTGCTCACCTTACAGGCAAGGCGGGTGCCATGGCGACGATACGGGTTCGGGAGGAGCTTCGAGCGCGGAGGTGGTGATGAGCTGCATCTTCTAGTCGCGGGCAGCGAATCTTTATACGCGGTGATGGGAGGGGATGGGGGCCGGGAGCGGTGGAGGCGGGCGTCAGTGGTGACGGGCAGCCAGGGAAAGCGAGCGAATTCATGGGAGGCGACAGGCGAGTGAATAGATGTGTGAATCGTGTGACAGACTGATTGGACGACAGGGTCCCCACTCCCCAGCCGTCCTGGCTGGGCCGGCGGCCGGCGGCCGGCCTCACTTCACTTGGACGCGAACGCGGTGCTGGTGCGATTTTGATTCTGTGCCTGGCAGTGCTTCTGGCCCGGCGGAGCCTTCAGGATTTTCTGGAAGGATTCCGGCGAGTAGTTGGTAGGAGCACTTGTAGGTTGTGGATCTGCGTCGGTCCAAGAAAAAACATTAGGGCAATCTGTCTGTGTGATGTTATACCAAACACAGACGACTAAATAAACAATGCCTACGAGGGTTGTCTTTTTAACTGTCTGTTAATTCTTTAAATTTTTTTTGGAAACCAATTCTTTAATGTTTATATGTACTAGTCATGATCAACCATAGATATGTTCATGTATTCCATTATGTTGCTTGTTGATAAATAAATGCCAAACATAAATATATTTATATATAATGTACTAAAATAATTTTTTCATAATCAAGTAAAACATAATACGGCACAAGGAAGTTTCCGTTCACATCCACAAGGAAGCAAAAGGGACCACGCCAGCTTGCCGTTGCCGCTCGGGATCGGACCACGCCCGCGGCCGCTCTGGGAGCATGAGCCACGGCCGTCGTCTCGTGAGGCGACCGCAACACTCTCTCTCCGTGGTAACTCTGCTGTTTTTGCCTCGGTGGATGCGTACAGACGGCTTCAACACAATCGTTGTACGTGCCCTTACGAGCCTGTTTAGTGCATAATAATAGGTTATAAGCTAGCTAAATGCTACGGTAAAAGAGATAGAAAAGAAAAAAAAGGAAAAACGGGTTATAAGCTTATAATCGACTTAGGCACTAGAACCTAAAAACTTTGTGAGAAAGACATATAGGCTATATATTAATAATAAATACCTTACTATTATATAGATGAGCTAAGAAAAAATTGCAAAGAACCTTACAACGGCTATCACTATTAGCCTTGCTCTAACGAGCAGAAGCAAACAGAGGCATACTATCTCAGTCAACATTTGCGAGAGTTTGGCCATCTCGTTCTTTCGAGAGCTTGGCCACTGGGGCTTCTTTTACGAGAAAAATTGTTCAATGCCACTAAAACTTATAACATTTTGGTATGTGCCATTGAAAATTGAGATTTTGCTTCATTGTCATTGAATAATAATTTTTTTCTCTTATATGTCATCACCATTATCTAATATGTTACTCACTCCGGTTTCGTAAAGAATGTCATTCTAAGGTTGTCTTAAGTCAAATATTTTAGATTTTAACTGTAAATAAATTATTTTGGGTTGAGTTTAAAAATATAAAATTGATGTAAGTAGATTCATCTTGAAATATAGTTTCATAAAGTATATATTAACTATATTATATAAATATTTTATAGAAAAAATAATTGTTAAAGTTGTTTTTAGAGACGGTGTCGCAGTGGAAAACGACGACATCCTCTCTAGGGCCAGTTTGGATACCAAAATTTTTGGCAAAATGCTACTGTAGCGTTTTCGTTGTTATTTAGCAATTAGTGTCCAATCATAGTCTAATTAGGCTTAAAAGATTCGTCTCGTGGATTTCGTCTAAACTGTGTAATTAGTTTTATTTTTTATTTATATTTAATGCTTCATGCATGCGTCTAAAGATTCGATGTGACAGGAAATCTTAAAAAATTTAGTATTTTAGGGTGAAAACTAAACAGGCCTCTAAAAACCCGGAGGGAACAGGTGCGGTTAGACTTGAACCCAATCATTTTTGGCTGGAGTTTGGTGTTTTTGGGTTTCATGTGGGGCCCGCTGCTCATTAAAAATAAAATGAAAAGAGAGCAGCTGACTTTTCTACGCCACGAACAGCACCTAGCCTACTTCGTCCTTATCCATCTCCCCAAGGCTACTGTTGCTCGAAGAAGCCTGCTCGGCTGCTCGATCTTTGGATTCCACGGCGCAGAGCGAGTACGCGAGGATGGCCCGATGCGCTGGACCACTGAATCATGCAGGGGTAGGGGCAGCACACGCGACGCCTGGGCGGCATGAACTCCGAGCCTCCGACGCGGCGCACAGCGGAAGCCCGCGCGCGAGGGCGACATGAGCTCCGACGAGGCGCAACTGGGGCAGGTGACCTTCATCAGTTCCGAGCTCTGGTCCGCATACCTGTCACGAACGGGCCTCCGGCTGTTTATGGAGTTGGGCCACACTAGCTGTAAGGGCCAGTAAGACGGCCTGCGAGCCGCGTGGTTGTAATGTTTGGGCTTAGCCCGTTTTTGTCGTTGAACTGATAAAATACTCGCTGTGTGGGAGGATGGGAGGTCAGCGAATAACAAAATCTAATTCTCGAATCCTCTTCCTCCTTCTGTTGCTTGCTCGAGGCGGCGCCTTCGTCGTGCTCCCAGCCGCGCGTGCACGCCGGCAAACCCATCTATCTGGTTAGGGTCGTGACATTTGGTACCAGAGCCATCCGATCCATCGCTTTTTCGGGTTCGTAAAATTCCGTCGCCGACGGTTGAATCCCGAACAGCAGCGAGGGCGTACGCCGAATCTCCCTCATCTCCACCGCCGGATCCGCCATCGTCGCCGTTCAACTTACCTACCACCTCCTTCCCCTACCTCCATCCGCGCTGATTCCACTGTGCTGGCCAGTTTCCACCCTGCAGATCCATTTTCCTTCCGATTTCCCATCGATTTCAGTTTCCAGTCGATCCGCCACCACTGCCATTCAAGCCAACCCACTCGCTGGTGCGTAAACCCAAACCCCCAACCCTCACCTCCCGAATGGCGACCGCCAAAGAAAAGCTAGATGCGCTCAGCGCGCAGATGAAGTCCATGCTCCTGCTCATGGAGTCCTTCAATCGTTGGCGTCCTGAGGTCGATCACGCATCCACCGAGCTGACCATGGAGATCAAGACTCTCACGTCGCGCGTGGAGGCGTTGGAAGCGCACAACGCTCCGCCATCAGTCCCGAAGCGCGAGGAAGAGGGGCGGGCCACGGGCCTCGGCGCTGCAACATCACCACAGGGGCATGATGGGGGGACTCTGGTCCTCACTCATCCCCTGGCCAATGGCCAGTCATCCACCCCTAATTTTCCAGTTCATTATCATGCTGCGCCTACCTCCAATGACTGTCGCTTGCCTAAGGCCTAGTTTCCCAAATTTGATGGGTCTCATCCAAAAATCTGAAAAGAAAAAGCGGAAAAATATTTTGATATGTTCAATGTCCTTGTGCATCGTTGGGCTCAGTATGGCACCCTTCATTTCAAAGGGCATGCTGCTTTATGGTTATAAACTTACGAAGCACAGCATGGGGTAGATAATTGGGTTGAACTTTGTATTGCTATTGAGTCTAAATTTGGCAAAGATCTATATCACAACTCTATGTTAGAATTACTAAGCATTAAGCAAACCTCTGATGTTCAGGACTATTATGATAGATTCCAAACTGTCATGCATAAAGTGCTGGTTCATAACAATCAATTAGATGATGTTTTCTTTGTTAGCAAATTCCTCCAAGGGCTACATCCTGACATCAGAGCTGCTATTGTTTTACATAAGCCGAGAACAGTTGATGTGGCTCTGTAACTGGCTCTTATGCAGGCTGAGGTGTTGGAGTTTCAACCCAAGTATTTTGGCAAGCGCCATTACCGAGAGTACAACAAGTTTCCAGCCAAGCCACCTCAGGCAGCAGCACCTGGTATTCTGGGCGCCACTCCAGCTGAAGACGCTAAACCCAAGTGGGAGGACAAATGGACTACATTCAGAGCTCAGCGCCGTGCTCAAGGCCTATGCATGAAGTGTGGTGAGAAATGGGGCTGGAATCATGAATGCCCTGATAAGGTGTCCCTCCATATCCTAGAGGAAGTTATGGACCTTTTTCTAGAGGCCAACAAGTTTGAGCCCACCTCTGAAGAATCCAGTGAAGACGAGGTCTTTTCTTTATCTCAAGCTGCAACAGTGGGGGTACAAGGCAGGAAAACCATCAAAATCACAGGATTGGTCAATAGTCAAGAAATTTTGATCTTGATTGACTCAGGCAGTTCCAGCTCCTTCCTCAGTCAGAAGACTGCTGATACCTTAAAGTGTGATCTCACATCAGCTTCCCCTGTAACAGTCACTGTGGCTAATGGTGAAAAGATTCTGAGCCAACAGCAGGTCCTCAATTTCACTTGGTGGACTCAGGGGCATACCTTCTCTACCAACGTCCGCATTCTTCCATTACCTTACTATGACATGGTGTTAGGTATGGATTGGTTGGAGAGATTTAGTCCTATGTGGATCCACTGGAAGAGAAAATTGTTGCGGTTCACTTATGCTGGGCAGAGAATTAGTCTCAAAGGAGTCAAGGACCAACTGTCTACATGTCACAAGCTCAAGGCAAGGAAACTGAGAGGCCTGCTCAGAAAAGGGGGAGTGGCTCAAATGATACATCTCTGTCAAACACAAACCACCCAATCCACCCAATCCATTCCACCATCCATCCAAAACCTTGTTGACAGCCATGCCCACCTTTTCAAAGACCCTGATTCCCTTCCACCACCCAGAGAGTTTGATCACCACATTCCATTGATTCCTAGTGTCAAACCAGTCAACATCAAGCCTTATAGATATTCACCTTCCAAAAAAGATGAAATTGAGCGCCAAATCCAGAAAATGCTAACCAATGGCATTATCAAGCCTAGCCATAGCCCCTTTGCCTCCCCAGTTCTTTTGGTAAAGAAGAAAGATGGTAGTTGGCATTTCTGTGTGGATTACAGACAGCTCAACAACATCACTGTCAAGGACAAGTACCCTCTGCCAGTTGTGGATGAACTCT